ATCCAAAAAGGTCCTTTAAACGTTGTGGTCAGAACTTTTGGTACACCCTAAGTAGAAACCGGGCATGTTCATTCTCGATCAATAAATAATCGAAAAATAATGTAGAAAAAATTATGTTAATAAAAAAATATAAGTTTCAAATGTTCAGTCGAGTTGTCTATATGTAGCTATATGTGGAAAACAAAGTCATGAATGAATAGTCAGCAAACAGAACACAACAAATTCATATACGATGCATTCTAATTGCGATGCATTTTCGCCATTGAATCTGCGACAGTATAACTTGTGACACACAAGTGCAACACACTTTGTTTTAGTGTGTAGAACCTAATAATGTTCTAATTGAACAAAAACATTTAAAATTTTCCTTCACTACTTCCTTATGAAAATCGTTCATGAGTCAAACTCCAAATGTTTTGATGTGTCGTTTTATAGTAAAACCCTATATTACATACAACTTTCACACTGTAACTATTTATCAAAAATGAATTCATTTTCCTATCATAATGATTCATTAGCACATCTACAGAAGTCTTTTTATACTTGAAGGAACCGTTGAAACAATAATAACCTTCAAGTTCATCATCCAACAAAATACAATAGAGACGCTGTGTTTGATAGCAGAATGTCAATAGTATTGTTAAACATTATGCTTATCTTAACAATAGAATCATACGAGAACAGCAAGACTCGATATGGTTCAACCGTTGAAGGCACTGATACGACTTGTACTTGTTCTTCAGTATCGTCTGGTGTCTGTATGACATACGCATGTAATACCACAATACGGAAGATCAGTTGCTTTCCAGGCTCAAGTCAAATCGCTCTCGATGATGGTAGTTTTAAAGCGTTATCAGACATCTCGATTGGAGATCGAGTATTAGTCAATGAACATAATGTCTATGAACCTGTTATTGCTTTCATTCATGGAGAACGTGAAGGACTCTTCGGATTTCTTGCCATTGATGTACAATCGACTGTTTCGAATTATTCCTCTACGATTTTTATCTCATCGCATCATCTTATGTTTGATTTCGAATCTGGCAATGCTCGTTACGCCAAAAGTTTTCATGTCGGTGACCTAGTTCAATTGATTGAAAATGCTCAAACAGTTTCCGGCAAAATTATCGACATTCGACCAACAAAACAGAAAGGATTCTATGCTCCGCTCACTCCATCTGGCACTATTGTTGTCGATGGAGTTTTGTGTTCGAACTATGCTGTAGTAGAAAATCATGCCTTGGCCCATAAAGTGATGGGTATCTATCGATGGTGGATTAGTCTTGCTGGTGCACCTACATTAAGCAATCGACTACCTTGGATATTGCAAGTTATGTACAATGTGGAAAAAAACATAGGATTTAGTATTTGGAAAACATTTTTAACTAGTTATATTTGACATGAAACGTTTAGTGTGGCCACTTTAGTGTGAAAGTTTTAAACATAATATTTTTTTATGCGCATATCCTGGAGTTACACATACATATAAGAATATATATCATTTTCTTTCATCATTTTCTTTTTAATAATTAATACAAAATGTTTTATTTTAATTCAATCATTTCAATATACTGAATAAATTTTAGAAATGTTATACTATTGTCGTATTCAGATGTAAAGGTACTTGGCTAAAAATTGAAGAAGTCAAGAACAGTGCATGTTAATGCCTTGCCGCTTTCAGCATAGAAGGACAAGAGCTGGAGGCATTAGTCCAAATAATACAGGGTGGCTCATAAGTCATGCAATCGACAAAAAAAATTGAATATCTCCATTATGGCTTGACCAAACGAGCTAATGTTTTACC